TAGGAATTTTGGATCAATCAAAAGAAATTTTACTTCCATAAGTGGAACACAGAATGCTGACATGTGTGAACAGGAAGGAAATAGAATTAGTTTCTCTTTATTTTTGACTTTAGCTGAAAAACAGATTCAGTGGTATCAGTCAGCAACGTAACATCCGCTCTGTACCTCATAAATACACGTGCACACAGACCTTTTGGATTCTGACACTTAGATTTGGTTGCCCTTAAAATAAGGCTGATAACTTTAGGTTAAACCTTTTAAGTCTTCAGTCTAAACTTTAAAGATTTATCCTCCTTGAAGTATTTTACAGCTTTTACACCACAAGATATTTGTTTCAGGTTCGACTCACATAAGGGATTCTGGTGTCAGCTCCTGGAAGAAGGAAAAACAAAGTGTCTTGGAAAGAGCAAAGGCAGAAAATACCCTCCTATGGATTCTGAGGTAAACTGTTATGCTCATTGGCATTGTGCAGGGATTCAGCTGCCACATGTGGGACTTGATGCAGGCAAAACCATAAGAAGGGAGAGAAGACCAAATGAACTGCTTCTGAAACCCAGTCCCCTTTACCTTATGGACTTAAGCAGCAGGGGCTCCACAGTGCATGTGTTTCCTCAGTCATGGTCAGGTATTTATATTTCTGTCTGGTCCCTTGTCCCTGAGAGTAGTTAGACCCTGTCAAGTAATGCAGACTCTTACCCAGTTTTAAGAGAGGGTAAGTTCTGTTTCCGTGAATTTTCTAAGTACCTTCCCCAGAGAAATGCTCAAATGTGGAAATCTCTGTCAGATCAAGTGCTGCAGCAGTTTAGTCTCCAGTAAGTTTTATGTTGATTCTGTCCTGCATTCCCATTTCATTTAGCCTGACTAAAATGCAAATAAAAACTTACAGTTTGAGCAGCAGTGAGAATTAATGTACCAAGTAAGCCAGGATTTTTTTTCTCCTGGTACTTAAATTGTAAGTAACTTCACATCAGTAGAGTCATACTGACACAAAATCATTGAGTGAGAAGGATTTTGGTCAGAGATAAGACAAGACTGTATTTGTTTACTGTTGTCTTTTTCAACTCTAAATACTTCTCAAAATGAGGTTACTAACTGATACATGTCTACCTACAGAGATAATTTAGAAGCTTTCATTTCAGTCACAGTGCAGTAAATTCGAAGTAACTGCATCAACCTCAGTGTGATTCTATATTTACATGACTATCTGAGAGTAGAATCAAATCCTTGACTTCAGTGTTCATTTAGACCTCTGTTTCTTTTGAAATTACCTTTTAGAGTTCAGTTCCTAACTGAAGAGCTTAAACTTGCATGTAGTAGATAGCATAAAACCATATAAATTGTATAAGAGAAAGTAAAGTTTTGACACATGTCAAACAAACTTTGAAACATCAAATTCACAACAACTGCAGTACAGCCTTTTATTAAATAAAAATGCCTCCTTTTGTATCCATCAGTGCAGGGCCTTTCTGTCAAGCTACTACAGAGATCACAACGTGGAACTGTCAAAACTTCTTCACAAATTGGGACAACCCCTGCCATCGTGGCTGAGACAGGAGCTGCAGAAAGTGAGATAGCATTGGAAAACAGCTATTTGAAATCTCCCTTCCACACTTCAGTCATCATACCTAAACTCTCCAGCAGCTACCAGAAGGTCTTGTAAGATATACCTCTTCGAAAAGATAGAAATTATTTCCATATGCTGGCATGTGGATTGTAAAAAATACATGCATTTCTTAGAGCTCTGATGGGCCAGATCTTTCTTACAAACATTTCTGGGCCTGTGGACTTGTGGACTACTGTGCACAAATGTGGAAGTTATTTACAGCTGGTAAAAGCGTCAGAAATACATGACCTGTCCAATTTCATGGTAAATATTTACATTTTTATATATCAGTTTAAAAGTATTGTGTCTCATGTAGGTTTTGTAGCCCATTGTTAGGCCGCTGACAGTTTTTCTTACTATTTGATTATTGTGTTGCATAAGGTAAGAAAAGTTAATGTAGCACAAAATGCCAAGTGTACTTCTGCCTTTGGAATCAGCTTGGTAATAACCCAAAGTGTGTACAAACACAGGTGAGTAGTACAGTTTATGTGATGTATATGACTTAGCTGTGCACAGCAACTAAATACACAGAGCAGAATCTGGAAGCCGCTGGCAAAAGCAGTGTGGAGAAAACCAAAGTCATACAAACAAAACTATCATAGGAACCTGTGATTATATCCTGTAACAGCAAACCCTTAGTGTGGTAAGGACCTTTGTCCATAATTATGTCTGATCTTGTACTGACTGAAATGTTAGAATATAGCCATTATCTGAACAGAAATTAATTTGGACATGTGAAGCACAAAAATTGCAGTATAGTCCTCATGAGCAGTATTAGACTTAAACAATTGTGACTCAGACTGGAGCAGTGGAAGAAACTCCTGGTTCTGTGAGCAGCCAGATCCAGGCACTGCACTCACAGGCTTGCTGTGAATCAGGAGTGTCTGCACTGAAACGGATGAAAAACTCAAAAAGAGCAGAAAGAGATCCATACTTTTATTGCCTTAAGTTGCACTATTTTTTCTTTTATTTGCCTTTTTGCTTTCCAAGATCCTTCAACCTTATCAAAATTGTAGCACATTTCAGTAACCTTCAGTTTACATCAGCTGCAAAATTCTATCAGATTTCGAGAAGAAAATACAGGTCCTGGTTCCAAACATCTTAAACATATTTGATATTAAAAGCTGAGGAAGAAGATCAGTGACAACTTCAGCTGACTGTGACCTTAATGCTTCTGCACTGAACTTTGGCTCTGAGTGTTTCTAAAGGCATGAAGGGGTAGTGAAAACAAAAGAGAACTACAGTACTAAATGCAGTGTTTTATACAGTAGCTCTTATAATGTTTTCATACTTTGTTTTAGGGCGAATACTTAAAAACATACATCAAATGGTGGAAAAACTTTCTGTGTCTCAGTGCTGTTTTACGACATTCCTGTAATCATATGATTTAACTTTCAAGGTAATGGAATGGAAACCAGTCTGTTATTCCCTAAATAGAAAACAGATGTTGAGATCCTTACTGTACCTCTAACTGGTAATCTTTATTTATTGATTTTGTCTATGTAATACGTGGTTTTGATAAGCCTGTAAAGAAAAAAATCTAGACAAATTTGCTGTATATACCAGTATTCTTTACACAGCACATTTTTGCTAAGGGAATATGCATGATTAATGATGAGGACCTGCTAGAGTAGACATTTTTTAAGATGAACATCTTTATTATTTATTAGAATGAGAATTTTCATTTCATTTTAAATATTCACTGTCGTGTGGATTTGTTTCAAAAGCTGACTTGTCTTTAAAAATACTCCTTATTTGATAAAAGAAATACTCTGGATTTTGAACATCTGTAAAAGCAAGTACTCTGCGTGCTATGGACACAGCTCATGCTTCCTGCAAGCATCTATATGGATTTGTTACAACTAAATTGAATAACTGGAGAAAATACCCGGGGTTTTCATCCCGGCGTGATTGATTTTACCCTTGATGTAACCTGATGTAACATCACTCAAACATTTTTAAAAAATCCACAGGGATTGCACAAAGCTCCCGTTGTGCACTGCTGCCTCAGTTACTCCACGTTCTTCAGTGGAACAATTAGAAAATAGAAGAAAATGGGAAAAACCTTGGGCACCTATCAAGTGCCTGATATTTTCAGGGTGAGAGAACCGTCTGCACAGAGATTTGAGTGCCTCCTACATGCAGGAGGAATGGCCTTCAGCCACATTCATAAGTTCATTCTTTGTTTTAAAGAATTCCCGCTCTGTCTTCCTTCTCTGGGAGAAGCATGGGAATGAGTGGGCAGCCAAGGCCAGAGCAGTGATGGGGACGTGCACATTGGTCACATTGTCCCCTGGGAAGTTGTACAGCCCAACAGTGGTCCCCATGAGGCACTGGCATAATAAGTCCTCCACGTGCAAGACCTTAGCCTTGGATAGATTATCGCTTTTTTATAAAAGATATGAAGCCACATCTGTTTTCTCCAGAGCTATTCTACTTAAATATGTTCTTACATTTAACAGGAGCCTTTAAGAAACAAGAGTGACTTAACATGCAGTCAGCTTGATGAAGGATGAGGAGGCTGAGCACAGCATGCAGGCAGCAGCTAGATGAGTTATTTCCCGTGTCATAGGATGGATATGAGTACAGCAGAGTAAGCAAGTCATACCACATGAGTTATCTGGCAAAGTTTAACCTCTCTCTTCACAGCTTACCTACAACCAGTGTTTGGTTTCCAGAAATAGACTATCAGTATTAATACTCTTAAAAAAAATACTGATTTCTTACAATGAATTTCTGTTTGCGAGTCAAAGTCGGATGTTTGATTGTGGCTGGTAACACAGCCGTGGTTTCTGTTCCCCTGGTAGGTAACTGCACAAGCAATTTCTTTGACAACTGCGTGATTATTTGAGCTTCACCTTCGTTTTCTGAAATCAGATTCTGAAATTTGCTTTCTGCCGACCTCTGTGCCATTAAAAACCAGTGTGTGGTTATGAGCAGAAAGTGACCATTTGGGGGGTGTAAACACAGAGCCTGATACTCAATTACCTAATTATTCGAGCAAACATTCCTGAAAATACTGTGATATTTTCCCAGTTCTACTTGTGCAGAAAGAATTAGTTTGAATGATTTGCAGACTATCTTGTACAGAATACCCTTTTTCATTGCTTAAAAATGTGAAACTTCCTCAGGAAGAAATTAAATAGATATTTCGATGTTTATAGATGTAATACTCTTGTCATTCACATTGAATGAATATTGCTGGAAACATTTTTCTCAGAGTTTTTTTAAATAAAAAAAAAATAGATATTATTCTGATAGTGGCATGGTATTTGAAGTGCAACAATAAACTCTGATAAGAAAATGTAGTGCTGCGTGGAAGTGCCTTTCGTGTTCACAGAAAGTTGTCCTTTTCCAGGTCGGTTATCAGCTATTGCAGCTTGACACTGAGCTACAACACAATCCAGCAGCACAGGAGCAGCATGAGATGTTTTCAGAAATGAAAAATGTTGCTTACTCTTGCTGTGAGTGAATATTGCTGCTTTATGCAGCTGCTCGTTTTACTGCTTTTGCTTCCTGCTTACTTTTTATTTCTTGCGCCAGAAATTGCTAATGTGCTGGAGAAACGTCTCCAGAGTTTGCTGTTTGTAAGATAACAACCAGAATTTATTCAAATTACTTGCCTTAGGGATTCAGTGGTTGTGCCAATGCATCAGCCTACACAGACATGAGAAAACCCTTCTTAGGAGAAACCTGTAAAATATGGTATGAATGTCTAAAGGAAAATTCAGTACGTTATCAATACATTCAGAATAGAAAACTGTACTTATCTAGCTGGGCGAAAGCTGCTTAATATCTTCATAGGAGTGTGGAAAAGAGGAAACCTACGTTAACAAAATACTCCATTCACTACAGAGATAAGATGCAACCTATAATTAAGTAGTCTAAGCTTCTTTTATGATACCCATCTCCATAATCTATTAAGAATAACAGAAGCGAAGTGATAAAGTAATAGTGGTAGTAAGCAAAGGGAAGAGATCCTTGCTGCAAATAATACCTGCTTGGCCTCTCTCTCCAATTTATCTGCTTTCATTTAATATTTCTTTTTAGTTCTTCAAGTCTCCAAACTCTTAGAGCTCAAAGGCAAAAGACACTATTTGTTTTGTCTCTGTGCACCACATGGATGAAGACAGCACAAGTCAGCATGAAAGGATAAATCCCAGGAGCAGGAGGGCAGTCAACAGCTGAAACCAAGGACTAGGGAAACCTGAATGGAGGAGGAGGAGTTTAAGACAAAGTAAGAGTGATAATTTCAAAAATATACATTGAGCTTGTGTCTTCACCAGGCTGAGGATGACAAATAATAGTTAAATAAGATGCTGTGCTCTGAAGGGTACAGTTTATTAGGGAGATTTAGACTTGTCATTAGGAAGCATTTTGTTGTAGAAGGTGACCAGACTCTAAACAGGCTCCCTGGACAGGTGGTTTATGCCCCAGGCCTGTCAGTGTTTGAGAGGCATTTGGAAAATGCCCCACAACAGGCTTTAATTTTAGGTCAGCCCTGAGGTGGTTGGGCAGTTGGGCCCTGCCAACTGAAATGATCTGGTCACTACTATTGTATTCCACCCTGTGCTAATTAAAATTGAGGGTGTGGGAATTTGGCCAGCATTAACCTGCAAATTAAGCATTTGCTTATATGGACTGGAAAAGGTGTTCACCTAAAGGGATGGCTTCATTTTTCTAGCACACCTTTCACAGCCTATTCTTTCTTCTTAGTCCATGGTTATCAAATAACAAGCAGGGATCGTTTTAGCGTTTATGACTGGACCGAGCACAGATACACATAGACACGTGTAGCCACATAGGTAAAGCAGCACCGATGTCTCGGCCACCTGAAGGGCTCTGCTTTGCTTTGGAGAGTACCTGCGGCCTTTTTTCCATGGATCCCTTAGTCCGTTTGCCCCCGAGGGTGCTACTCGGTAGCTTCATAAAGCACCAGGACGGGGTTGGTTCCCTTTGCATTTCGCGCCTTGCCCCCGCCCCTGGGTTGCCGCCCAGCGCGCCCCGAGGCCCCGCCCACCGCCCGTGGCCCCGCCCACCGCCCGTGGCCCCGCCCACGTCTCCGCCCGAAGCTCCGCCCGCAGCCCCGCTCGTGCCTAGTTCCCGCCGCCGGCGCGCGAGAGGTCGGGCGCGCGGCGAGGGGGTGTCTGCGGGGGCGGCGCGCGGGGCGGCCGTTGGCGGTGAGGGGGTGTCCGCGCGGGCGGGCGCGCGGGGCGGCCGTTGGCGGTGAGGGGGCGCGCGGCGGGCGCGGGAAGCGAAAGAGAGGCCGAGGCTCTGAGGGAGAGGCTGAGGGTGAAGCTGAAGCCGGCGGTGCTGGTGCTCGGGGACCGGGCGCGCTCTCCTCCGCAGCGGAGCCGCCGCGGCACAGGAGCGGAGAGAAGCGGGGCGAGCAGCAGGTGGGCTCCGTGACGAGAAGGGCGGCCGGGTGGAAGCCGTGAGGCGGCGCGGGACCGGGGCTCGCACGAGGGAGGGAGGGAGGGAAAATGGCGGCTGCCACGTGGCGGGGTGGGGAGCGGTGATCCATGACTCCATGGGGGCTGCCGCCTGTGGCTGACTCCCTTCCTAGGCATGGAAGAGCAGAGCCTTGCGGATTGGCACAACTTGTACCTTCTTGTGGGTATGAGTCGTTGACTGTAGCAAGTAACAAACCGAGTCTGCCGTGGGGCTGGCCGTCTCCCCCTATTGTGTTTTTTGGTTGTTTGGTTTTCAGTTTTCACCTTTTTTGTCCCCAGTAAGCGATTATAGCCCAGTTTTTAAACTTTTTTTATTTTATTTTACAGGAGCTCAGAAGCTGAAAATACGGAGACATATCTGATCTTGAAGATCCTTCCCCAAAAAGTATGTGACTGGGTGTATAGTAGGTAATAAGATCTTCAGGAGTGAGATTTTTATCGGGAAAAATAACGATTTGATAATTTATGTTTAGTGATTAATCTGCTGCGACGTGTTCTCTGAAATAGGTATAGGTTTGGTGTTTTATTTTAAGCCATACTTCATTTTTACGTGGTTTATTGTCAGAAAAATAACACCCGAGTGCATTACTGTAAGGAATGGGAGGAATGGGGTTTGGGTGTAGATGCATCAGAAAAAATCCACTATTCCTAGCATAAAAGTCACATTGTCAGTACTCTTGTTTGCCGAACTAGAAGCATCCAAATCCACAGATTTCTCGGGGATATTCTGTGCAAGGGGAATGTCTTTTTCAATAAGCACGTGAGTTCTAAGCAGAATCTGCAGTTACAGGAGCAGAGGGAAACACGAGGTGGATACTAAAAGCATTGTTTCAGCGCATCCTGCTGTTCGGTGATGTCTGTTTGCTGTCTTGTATATTTTCCCGGTAGCAATATTAAACTGCCTCAAACTTGTTTTTACAGGGGAAAAACACTCTTGAGTTGTGATGACAGAAGAAGATGGGGGTGAATTCCACATGTGAATTCTAAGAGTAGCTGTGACTAAAATTTTAATTTTTACTGGGTGAGGGAGGTGGATCTTTTTCATTTTGATGCCTTTGTGAGTGGTAATATTTCTGGTTATCAAGCAGAGCTAGAAAAGGCTAATTTTAGGCTAGATCTTAATCTCAATTTTTAAATAAATTTAAGATTTGGAGCTTTAATGAGAGATTTTGCAGTTCTTCTCATCGTTTCAAAGAGGGGCTGGAACACAGCTTACTTTGCCTAAAATTAGCCTGCCTGCTTCTATACAAGTACAGTTAGGACGAGTAGCCCATTTTGTGCAGCTTTCAGGGATGTGCTGCTTCTCTTTGGGCTGTCACTAAGTGTTGAGCAGTTACAGTAATGGTTTTGGTAGTTCAGTGGCCATGCTGCACTGTCCTGTGGCCAACCACACTGCAGGAGTATTAAATCCAGTGACACGTGCACCTTCAGTGGCGGCTCCTCTGCTGCTGAAGTATGTTAGAAAGGTGGTTGCAAAGAGTGTCCGTGTACTGCAGAAGCTGAAGGTAAGTTTTTGAAGTCTGGAAAATGAATGTGGAAACTTACAGTCATGATTTTGGTATCTATGCCAATATAAAGCGTTCAAATGTATGAATAAATCAATAAAGAGACTTTGGCTGCAGGTGTGGTTTCTTTCTTTCTGCTGGTAACCAAGATTAGACCTGCACACGTTCATTGGAATGACTTACACATACCAAATCTGCCTGTTCTGGGGATACACCTTTTGGCAGAATCCGTGGTTTCAGGTGGTGGATGCATTGTCTGGGAACCATTCCAGGAGGGGTATGACTTTGATCAGAGGTTGCTGCTTCAGGGCAGAAACAGCAACTTTGAATATAGCTGCTTTTTCAGCTGCAGTTCCTGAGGGCTCCATATTCACAAAAGCAGATGGAGCTCCAGTAGATGGTGAATCACTGCAAAATCAGAACATTTTACTTACAGTCTTAGCTAACACCACCTGTGCTGACACAGTCTCCTATAGAATATTTTCCAGTTAATAAGGAAAGTTTTTTGCAAATTGTTCCAAATAGGAGGTTTAGGGTAAGGGGGCTTTGAATGGGTTGGGAAACAAAGTCTGTGAAGGTAGAACTGAGATCATCAGCAGGCAGTGTAATTACTGCCAAGTGTTTGGCAACTGAGGTGGGAATTCCTGTTGGGAGTGGATGGAGTGGAAGTGTGGACTCTTAGTTACAACATGGATTAGATCTGTGGAAATTACTTCTGGTGGTAGTGTTGTGTTTTGGTAGGGAGATCAAGGAACTGTCATAGGAAACATCATCTTATTTTTCAAGCATATACTTTAGCTGCCACAGTGGAAGTACAGCTGAATGGATATTCTGTGTGAACTTAATAATAAGTGATACCACACCTGTTTAACTGGTGGTGTGTGATTACTCTCTCCTTTTAAACAGGTCTATCATATGACATCCTTACTGCTTGGCATTCCGAGGTCGTGGCTGCCAAGCCTGGAAGGCAACAATCCTGAGTGTGTACTTTGAGTTTCCTTTTCTCCAAGAGGACTTGGCTTGTGTAGTAACCTTAGTGCTTCCAGAAAATAAGATCTTTTCTTACCTTCCACAAGCAGATGCTAGACAGACTGGCCAGGAAAGGTCTGGGGCTGTCCCAGAACAAGGCGTGGGCAGGAAAGTGCTGCTGTTGTGGCAAGCACCTGATGCAAAGTGGCTTCCTTAATTTTTTAGTGGTGGGGTTTTTTTGTGCCTGGCCATGGCTCTATGAAGAAGGCCAGGTGTAGGTAAATGAATTGGAAGCAGCAGGAGTAGGGCTGGAGATTGGTTTCTCCAGGAATCTTTATGAGTATAAATACTATAGCACAGAAAGGCATGAAATAGTTGCAGTAGCATTGAAAATGGAGAATATTGAGGACTGACCTTTTGTCCTATACAAGCTGTCACAGTGCTGTGAGTATTTCTGGAATTAAGGAAGCTAAGGTTCTAGGTGTTCTGCATGTAGTTATAAAATGGGATCTTGGTTTATCTGTGGTGTAAGGTAAGTGCCCTTTTTGGGAAGTTTTTTGGGGTCAGGATAAATTTAATAGATTTTGTGTGTCAGTTGCAGTGATGCTTCTGCTCTTGTATATTCCCTGTAAAATGAACAAAAACTCGGGAAGCTGAGGAGGGCTGCATCTAACTAGGCCTTTACAGTGTTGAGGAGCCTGAATAGATTACAGAGTGGTGTTCAGGATGGTCATTGGTAGTAGAAGTGCCAAGTGCCAGTAGTTTATGCCACTATTAACACTGTGGCCAACCTGCTTAATAGAAAACCTTAGCGTAGGCTGAAAAGCAGGGGGTTTTATACAACCTCATTTATTAAAAACGTTGAATTGAGGGGAGAGCAGCAAGGGTCAAAACATTCTTAGGCAGTTTTAAGAGTATAGGATTAACTTATTTGTGACAGCCTGACTGGTGTGAGTTAATGCAGTGGGAAGGAATTCTGTCATACAAGACAAATTTCCCTTTTTGAGGAAATAGCCCTAAGCTTATAAAATAGTTTCAAGAGCACCCTTTCTCGTTTAATAAAGCTCACGTGAAGTTTACCCAGCTGATGTTCCTGCAGCACCTGCTTGTACATCCACAGTATTAATGTACAGAAGTTGTAGTCAGTGTGGCAGTTTTTATTGTTTACATGTACATCATCAGGCTCATTGAACAAAAATGAGAATGGCATAACACGGAGACAATTTCATTTTATGTTAGAAACTGAAAAGGCATGCTCAGCATGGAAACAGTAGTGCAACATTTTAAAATCTAATAAAGCATCCTATTAAAAGAGCAGTACTAGCAAACTACTGTACTAAATCTGTTTACTACACTTAGTATGCAGGCTCAATCCCACCCCCAAGTATCGTATTTCAACTTCTAAAAGAAGATTATTTCCCCTGTACACAATGCATATATTGCACTATATAGACTACTTCACCATAAGTCTCAATGGTCTTGTATAGCAAAGCTTGGATGGTACAAGTGGATACATTTTGACAGACGTACTTCCCTTGTAATCAAACGGGCTATATATAAGTAAAAATGTAATGGTTTCAATGTTCATTAGCACAGTCTTTCATATTGGTCTAACAGCAGGTGGTCACAGTACCGTGATTTTTGACATCTTTTTAAATAATATACTTCACACGATTTCAAATAGCATGGAATTACAGAGAACTAAAATATATTAAAGCACCCCATGTACTAGTTTAGCACCATTTTTCCAATAAGATATTTAAATTAGTCATGAACCTTGAAAACTTATGTGTGAGGTCAGCGAGAAATTAAGAGCCAAGTTTTCAATCACATGGGCTTCTGCAATATCAATGCCCCTTTGTATGCAATTGAGTTGTGGGTATTTGTTATAACACCAGAGAGACACAGAACCATACAGAAATGAATGATTGCCCACTTAGAGCATGAATGCAAGCATCCCACTTTTTCACAAGACACCACACCACATGTCATAGCCAGAGTGTTTGGGGAATAGGGAACAGGGAAACAGTCACTGCTAGTCACAGTTTGCACAATCACTATGTGGTGACACATCTGCCACACTTGTCACGCTGGAGTGTTTCACAGCCCACAGAGCTTTTCAGTTCATCTTTTTATGAGTGTGTATGTTAATGGAATATGCAGAGCACACTTGTGATGGTCAGAATGGCCTTTGACAGGGATTGTGGAGATGGTGCTGAGCTGTCCAGGCTGCCTCTCAACTGCAGTCACAGGCTGATCCTGTTAGTGTTGCACTAAGATGATGATAACCTGCTGTGTTCTGTGTTCTAGGTTCAGTGGGGTGGCCCTTTCTAGAAGGACAGTAAGCTGGTTATTGGTGCATTTTTATAATAAGTTTTCAAAATTTTCGCAGCATACGGAACAGTATTTGGAAAAAGAGATTAAATGGAATCAAGATGTGTCAATACTTTAGAAGTTAGTGAAAACTCAGCTTTCCTGTAAAGATCAACCTGAACCAGTGCTGCAACTAAGAGAGAGCTGTCTAAATATTACCTTGTAGAAAACAGGAGTTTAAGACTATAGACCTTGTCAGACAGGTTTGGCTCAACATCTCCACTGAATGTATTTATAACTCTCTCTTGTAGGATTGACAGAGGTTCTTTGCACTACTTAAAGTAAAGCCCAGCAATGAGAAGAGCAGGATATTTTTTAGTCTAACGCTGTGGTAAACAGGATAAGTAAATCCTCTCCAAAACGCTGTATTTACTCAAAATTACAAATTTCAGAAATCAGACAAATGTTACTTATCTAGAGGAAGGAAAATAAGTGTTCATTTGTTTTTGATTTAGCTCTTGTAGCTGTGCAGGATGTTTGTGAGGAAACAGTCAAGTGTACTACCTGTTTCACTTGGGAATGTACTTTATGCACACTA